AAGAGTGTGTGCTTTACCGGAAAATTCAAGGTTGTCTCTGCCCCCCAGTACTTTATGGCAGCAAGATCGTAGGTGTGTGCGGCTGCCTCCTCATTATCATAGGCACCTGCATGTTACACACAATTAGGAACCCATGATCATTATTTTGTGGTTTAAGGAAATAAAAAATAATTATGATTTTTTCTTTTTTTAAAAAAAAAAAAACAGATTGAGATCATCTGGAGGAGTGCTTACCCAAATAAACTGAGCAGCAGACAAAGTTGTGGATGTGAGCGTTACAGTAACGGGGATGAGTGTAAAGAACAAAACATGATTAGAAAGTATTAAGAAAATAAGTAAAAATTTATAAGTAATAAAGAAGGATTATAGATCTCCTTGGTTTTAGTTGATCTTCAATTAATCAAGCAAAATCCACCTTGTTTTCCCTTCTTGTTTTGAATGTTGTTCCATGAACTCTTATCCCAGAGATGAGCTTCAAACCTTCCTGTCCATCTATGTCTGTTCTTGATCAACCAACAATAATGTCACACGTGCATATTTGATAAACCCCACAAGGAAAAAGAATCATAATTTGAAAAGATGAGCAAGATTTTGGCACCTGGTGACTCCTCTATAAATGGAACTTCTTTTGCCAGAGTTAGGACTGTTGGCAGCAGCAGCAGCAGCAGCAGCATTCTTCTGGGATTTCCCTTGATTGCTCTTTTGGTTTTTTCTAATGCGTTCGACTTTTGGCTTCTGAATGCTTTCAGAGGCCTCACGATAAGGTGAGGAGGAGGAGGAGGATGAGGAGCAAGACGAAGACCTCTTCATTTACCTCTTCTTTTAGCAATGTGAGAGCACAAAATATGATGGAATGCAGGCAAGCAAGACTTGTCAGAAGAAAAATGATGGGTCTATGTTATGTTCGCTTGCTAGGCCTCTCTTGTTTTCCTACCCTGGTTTAGATTTTGTGACTTTGGAAATTGAAAGAAGTGTATTTTGGTGACCAAAAGTTGTTTACCAAAACAAGGAGAGACAACGGGAAAGGAGGACTGGAAGTGCAAGGCATTAAAATAACGCACAAAGCCAAGACAAGAGAAGAGAGGAGAGGAGAGGCCACTTCACTAGAGCATGTTCCTTGGCCTCGTGGGGTTTAACTTTAACCATACATGTGGTTAGAGATTTTTGACCTGGGTTAGTTATCCTTGAGTTACTACCCTACACTTGGCTAATTCGTGCAGCCATGCCACCAATAAAGATTTTCCCGCTTTTCTACTAAGCAATTTAGAGTTGAAGAAGGATACATGTCAGTTATTTTTCTTTGTATTTTCTGGTTTTTTTGTTGTTGCTGATGGGTTGGCTCTCTGTGTCAGATATTTTGGTGAGTTTGATCTGTGACTCGCTTTATAACAAGGGACGTGTAAGGACATGTCTGCAGAATGTATAGTTATATTTTCGCCCCTAGTCTTTATTCATATTACCACAGACCCATTGGAACATAGATTGCATGGTCCCACACACACCATGGCAGGTAGCAATTAGCAGAGCGGCAAGAGGAACAACCGAAGCTTTGCATTGATTTTTTGGGATGTGGTTGCTACGCGCTTCTAAAATACTTTAGCTTTTTTTATTATTTTTAATTATTATCTTTTTATATATTTTCAAAATCATTTTGAGACAAGCGTTTAAAAACACAACCTCAGACATTTGCTATTGCACTCAAGTGAGTATGTGCAGATCCCAATTGTTTTAGCTATTGTTTTTTTAAAAATATTTTAAATTATTTTTATGTGTTAATATCAAAAATTAAAAAATATTATTTTAATATATTTCAAAATAAAAAAAACTTTAAAAAACTATTTTAGAAAATAAAAATATATTTAACCAAAAAACAAAAATATACAAAATAAAAACATAAAACATAAAATAAATTTATTTATAGGATAACAGTACAGCGAGTTTGACAGGAACAAATATGAATCTGTAAAATTGTACCCAGAGGTGGAGAGATCAGTTCCATGAAGAAAAAATAAACCTCATTTTGTACTCAGAACCATGGGGTATTGGAAGTCCATCTGGGTCACCAAAACTAATAATCTTTGGCTTGAAACTTGTGGCAGAAAAGAAAAGAAAAATCAACATCAACAATGATACAAATATGATTTATAGCAGTATCTTACAACCATTATATGAGCTTACAAACACCTACAAAATGTGTGCTCCACACAAACTTGAGCGAACCCTTCCTATACAACACCCTTGTTTAGGGACCCTAAGTAGAGGTCCAAGGCTCCCAGCCCTTTTACATAAATCACATATCTGTAACCCTATTGAAAATTCACTGTGCAACAAACTGCCTATTTTCTATTCTCAAAAACAATATTGAATCACTGTATACAAGACATCAAACCATCACAAATTGCACACAAAAGTTCTCCACATTCCAGATGGTCAGGATGGATTTGTGGGAATCTAACCACGTCATTTAGATTACAGCAGCAAAGGGTGAAAATGAAACTCCCATGCCTCCGTCGCACAGTAGCACACTACCTGACTGGATTCTGTTATTAAGGAATACTGTGTCAAATAAGAAATTTTGCCTCGAGGCCTGCAAATTATATTCATCCAGATCAAAGTGGTTTGATCTTAAAATCTTTGAATTGATGGCAGGTTTTTCTGTGTCTTTCTCAAAGCTTTTGACATACTTCCTAATATCTTGCTGAAGTTCGATGGAATCATTTGGCTTTTGAGCAAAAGAAAATTGTACCCTCCGGCTGTTTGGTGTTTCTGAGCTGTTTAGAGTGACTTCCTCTAAAGCAGGCTCCTGGCTGCTGCCAATGGTTGACAGCACTGATGCACCGTGGCTATGTGTACCAACCAATTCCTGAAAGCATAAACATAATTTATCATCAGACCAAGATTCTACTTTTGTTTCTCCAACATGATATTGTATGAAGTATATAATCGCTTATATTTTTTCTCCTTCAGCACTTCAACCTCACTGTCTTGAACAAGATTCTGTTTTTGTTCTTCCACCATAATGTTGCATGAAGTATATGGGTGCTTATATATCTCATTTACCACTTCAGCCTCGTTGTCTTACAGTTTTTTTATAGAAGGACAAATAAAACAGACAAAGCAAAGAACAAGACAGGAAGAACAAACACCTCCATGAAGAAAAGGAATTAAGTTTAAAATGAGATGGCATCAGTATCGTTTAAAAATAAATCACTGATTCAGCCAGCTGTATTTCTTCAGAATAAAAATAACAGATAAGAATGTAGAGAGGAAAAAACCTGTTTACTGGTAGCAAAACTGTTGGGATAGCAGTTGGCTGCAGCGTTAGAATTTTCCTGGGAAAAGGATGCACAATCACCAACACCAACTAAGTTGATTGGTGGATCCTCAGGTGATGAGAAGTCAGAGCTATCAAATGTTGACAGCGACACGCATTCATCAAAATACGCCATGGCTTCATCTGTTAATCGTTTTGACACCTTACTTCGTTCAATGCTGGACTGTCATCAGACCAGAAAAAACAAAAAAATTGCAGTTAAAACACTCATCTATATGGTAATGACATAGAAAGTCCAATGACATTGAAAGTCCACAACTGCTAAGCATGTAGAGGCTGAACCATAATGTGAATGAACAGAATAGTAAAAACGTGGCTAAAATCATTATTAAAAACCACCTCTAAGAGTCTAAGCCAAAGATCTTCAGGGGGAGGGAGAGAAAGCAAGAGAGACCATAACCAGGTAAGATTGAAACTATAATTAGTTTATTTACTTAAAGCATGGATAATTAAGTTCTGTATTTTAGAATATCAACCATATGCAGAACATGTAAACTCAGATTCAAAAGGATATTGATTTGACGTGTGTGGTATCACCCCTCACTACACATATTTAACTGTTTTCTCCTTCTGTTCTACATCAATGCTAGACGTGTTTTTTAATGCATCTAGTGAAATATGCTTGAATGAAAGCCACACATGCAAAAAGAAAAAATAAGGATGTACCTTTCTTCCAGCACGGGGTTTCTGCACATTTGACATCTTCGGATGCGGAAGCACTTCCTTCAGAATTCTACTGAGCTCTAAGCCGCGGTGCTCTTCGACAGCAAGGTCTGCTCGAAGCTTCCTTGCCCTTTCCTGGGACTACAAGTTAAAAAGAGATCCAATCATAAGTGCCTGTTCCAACTAAATTATAGAAGAGAATTGAATAGGCATAAAGCACCACGGACATGACATCATGAAAATTATGGATCGCAACGCCTATTTATCAAAACTAGGGAACAAGAGCGACCCCACCCCCTCCTGTCCTCGCCATTTCTAACATTTGAATCTAGAATCCATCCCAATCCCATCCCTCCTCTTTTGAGCTTTTAAGTGTTCTTCAAGTGGCAGCGGAAGTAGGAAATAGGCATCAGCCATTTTTAAATTTCATCTCAAAATAATTTTCATCAGGCCAAAACATTCACAGATTTTCTTAGAAGAAAACCTTACTCTGCTCAGTAGTACAGTGGCTACAAATCACATGGCAAACACAAGCATTAACTATGCATGTCAAGTTTTCCTTGACTTAATTTGATACTAGAATCTAACACACACCAGCTCAACTCAAGCAAATGTCAAGGGTTAGCAAGTTTATAATGATTTCCTATGGTCAATCTAACTTCTCAATCACAATCTCAGCTGAAAATGAGCAAAACTTACCTGCTCAAGCTTCTTGGCATATTCTCTTCTGATGTCCAAAACTAATTCAACTGCACTTGGGTTGACTAGATCAGGAGGAATATCATTCACATTGGCCAATGCAATAGCAGTTGTATTACTCCTCCGGATAGTCTGAGCTCAAAACAAAGTCCAGAGTGAATTATGAACAAGCACAAAACTTGGAAGCAAGCAGTAAAATACGAAGACTGCAATCAAATGCGCAAGAAGTAATTAATATTCTATAACACATCCCCCCCCCCCCCCCCCCCCAACCCAAAAAAAAAAAAAGAAAAAAAACAGAACCATAAAATCCAGCAGATGCTCCTGAAATTTAACGTCCCCGCATCAAATATCCAACCGACCAATCCAAAGAGTCAAGGCAACCTACTCATCCAAAGAGTCAAGGCAATATGTCATGTTCTAGGTTGGCAAGTCAGGTAACTAAGGTCTCTTGAAACAAGTGCATGCCAAGACTCATACAGGCATTCATAACTAGTAAAGCATTATAATAGACATGAAAAGAATTTTTTTTTTTTCAAGGGACATCCTGCATGGAAGCAGAACGACTTAGATCATGTAAGAAAACCTTTATCACCCATGAACTTCAGGAACTTACACTTTCCAAATCATTTTGGATGTCAGCAATGGCACGTCTAACTTCAGATCGAACAGTTTCATATATACGACTAGAGGTGCCATCTCCCAAATTATCCCCTTGGAACGACTGCAACATGAGGTCATAACCAAAACTATATTAGGATCATGCATCTTATCCATTGATGTTTCAGAACCATTCACGTAAAAAGGCAGCATACAATCTCATTCATTAACCATTTAGAACACCGGCACATAAATAACTCCAAATCACTCATGTCCAAACCAATTAAACATGACACCATTCAGGTCTCACCTGCATTTGTTCAAAAACTGCTTTAATAGTTCTCTCTTCAGCTTCTGAAATTGAGCTTCCTGGACCTTTATCTTCCCAACTCCTAATGGGCAAAGAAGGCTAGAAAAAAAGAACAAATAAAACAGGAAACATCATTTAACTAAAGAGCTTCATTCAAATCTTATTATAAATGCCAAAAACATAAAAGCATTTCTTGAGAAAATACCAAGTCTGAAGCAGATCCATCTGATTGCATCGGAAAACTTCTCATCTTCTCAAATTTACAATCATAAGTCCTCGCTAAATCACTATTTCTCCCAGCATTTGACACACTACTCAAACCGCCACTCCCATTTCTATACCTCGTCAACGAACTCCCTTCTCGTTCAGCATCACTCTGTGAAAAACAACAACAAACAATAAGCAAAACATGCTTTGCTACTCTCGAATTCAATAAATAAACCCTTTCACAACACATAATTTCAAAATCCTTTGAGATTCTTGAATCGAATCAATAAAAAAAAACAGTCTTCCACTGTAAATAACTAACCCTTCTTTGCTATCCATGAATTGAAAATAAAATAAAATAAAATAAAGCTTTCATACAAGAAAAATGAAAGGACAACCTCGGAATTCACGAAATGGCCTCTAGAGCCAGGAGGCCGAGACACAGACCTCCCTCTGGAAACAGGACCCCTGGACAAACTCCTACCAATCCCGGAAACGTTTTTTCCAGCATCAGCGTTTCTTGACACAGATCTCCCTCTCCTACTATCACCATCAACATTTGGCTTTGTGGGTGCACTCTTAGACTCTTCCTTATCAACCACAACTTCACCGACTTCTTTATCAGGTGGAGAAACATTGCTCCAGTAAAGCGGGTTGTCTCTTTTAATCAATAAATTTGTTGACCCTGTAGCTGCTCCTTCAGCTGCTGTTCTTGTTGTTGAAGTATCAACAAGATGGGATCTTGACACTGCACTCACACTTCTTGATCTTCTTGGAGGTACCGTTTTTCTTGGTAAAGCGTGCTGCTTTGTTGAGGTTTCTTTATCTGATGTTGCTGTACTTGTTGTTGTTGCTCTTCTTGACATGGATTTAAAGGCTGCCACTGCCATTCTTTCTTGATTCTTTGACAGCTGCTATGGATTTAAAATACGAATAAATTATTGAATTGGGCAACAAAGTTCTTTACTTTTCAATGTCAGATTGAAACAAATGAGAAGGAAACTGTTCTGTGTTGGTGTTTTTTTGAAGGTTTAGTTTGGTGGGTGGTGGTGATGATGATGTTGCTGATATGTGGAACTCATGTAAGACAAAGTTTCTATGTGGGATATTCGCAGAGAGAGACAGGTTGTTCGGTTTGGTCGTGTTATCCGGGCGTTTGTTACAATGTTGGATTTCGGAGGCACGGTACTGTCCTGGAATTATTTATTTTTACTTTAAAAAATATTTTTAGTATTTTTCAACTTGAGTTTTGTATTTTTTTTTTATTGTTTTAATATTTTATAATAATTTTTTAAGATTAAAAAATATATGTTATTTTAATATATTTTTAAATAAAAAATATTATATAAAAAAAACCTCTTGATTTTCTCAGTTATCTCAAGAATCAAGAGTGTTTTCTTTTCCTTCTTTTCCAGTTAAATTGTATAAAGTCAAATGAAAAACCGGATACCATTCAATCCGGTTTGATTAATGTTGAGGGCAAACATGGCAGGGGTTAATCCGACCCAGCTCTTACTTGGTTTTCAACCTCTTCTCTTTTTAGCTCTCTGTTTTGTTTTGAATACAGTGTATGAATATTTATCCGGTGATTGAAGGGACCTACTAAGTGAAGAAAGTTTTCTATACGGGATTCTTCCAGTCCACTCAAGCGCGTGCTTAGTAATCGGTGCAGAGTATTTTTAGTTAAAAATGTTTTTATCAAAAAAAAATATATTAAAATAATTATTTTATAATTTTTTTTAAGTTTATTGATGAAAATATAATTTTTAAACATGAGTTTTATCTATCATTATTAAGGAGGTTATTATTTGATTAAAAATTATTTTTTATTTATTTTTCATTAAAAAAAATAATCAATTAAAAATAATTTTTAATAAAATAAAAATTTAACTTAGTTGCTAAAAAAAACTTTTTATTTTGAGTGGAAATTTTTTTTTTAAAGTTGTGAAAAATTATATATATCATTTTATTTTTATTTGCTGATTATATGAAATTTGATTTTTAAATTTTTTATTGTTATACATTTTTTTTTAATTTTATACCTTAAAATTTAATTTTATATTAACTTTAGTTCTCTTTTTTGTAATTGTTATTTTTTTCTTATTATTTTTTAATTGAAATTTTTTATCTATTTAATTTGGTCATCTTTCTTTTTATTGTTACTTATTTTATTTAAAATAATTTATGAGATTGTAATTATTATTATTTTAATTTCTTCAACTTTTAATTTTTTTTATTTATTAGACTTGGTTTATATTATTTTAATCATTATTTACTTTATTTAAGATAATCTATGAAATTATATTTTTTTATTTCATTCTCATTCAACTTTTTAATTTGTAATATTTATTTTTCATTATTTTAATAAATATAAATAAAATAAAATATTAATAAGTTATTTTCCAGCTCATTTTCCATGACATAACTAAACACTGAAAAGTATTTTCCAACTTATTTATCATTACATACCAAACATAAAAAAATAGTTTACTTTTCTAAAATTTATTTAAAAAAAACTATATTCTAGCAAACAAATAGAGTTAAACTCAAGTAAATTAATTTCTTAATAAGCTATGTTAAATATAAAAAAATTTTCATACAAAATCCAATTCAATTAAGGATGTATTTGAAAACTTATTGCAAAGTATTTTTTAAAAAAAATATATCAAAATTATTTTTTAAAATTTTGGATACTAACATATTAAAATCATCAAGAATTATATAAAAAATATTAATTATATAAAAAATTAAAAAAATAAATTCACACTAAAAACATTGGAGATGAATGATTAATTTAGATATTTTAAATTAAAATTAAATTAAAAGAAATTCAGCTCCAACCTGTTTCTAACTCTAGCATCAATTTATTTCTCTTCAAACCCTCCATGAATCGTTTTTTATCTAAGAATTTAAACCATCAAATTATGCATTCATAACTAATTAAAAAGACCAAAAAAATGTTTTAATAAATCAAAGGTCATTAAGCCAATAAGATTCAGGAGATTAAATTCAAAGATTAAAAAAGGCAAGGACTAAATCACAGTAAAAGTAAACAATATGGACTGATTAAAAACAGTCTTTACCCAAAAACAACTTGGCACCCAAGGACACACTAAAAGTCCAAACTTTTTGCAGAACCCCCAACGCATTCGGATAGACAAAAACATCCTTGAACCCTTTAAAAAAAAAAAAAAAAACTGATTCTTACAAGGTGTGATCCCCATGTCAATTCTTACAATGCTATGTCTCTCTTCTCCACTCTCCGTCTCTCCTCCTCCCTTCTCCACCGCCTCCCTCTCCCTTCCCGCCGTTCCTTCTTTTTTCTTCCCCGCTACCACTCTCTCCCCGACCTCCGCTTTCTCTCCTCATCTCCCCGCATTCGCCCCGTTGTCCAATCTCCGCTTTCAGCAACAAATTAGTGGAGTACCTCACTGAATTTTAAGGGACATCGATTATGAGTTAAAGGGTTTAAACATGATAACCAAAAACCGAGCTAAGTTAATCCTATAAATGGTTCATCGGCTACTTAAACTTCTTTAATGTTGGATTAGCTAGCTAATCCTGTATGTTACCTTTGTTCATATGTACTGCGAAATTCATTATCTTTCATTCTCGTCTCTCTCTCTTTCTCTCTCTCTCTCTCTCCAGAGGAGTTGTTTTGATGCGGTTGGAGCATGCTGGCAAAATTCAGTCAGCTTCCTTGATCTCAGCTGCGGATCCTGAGTCAGCGGAATCGACACCCATGCCTGAACTACGTGAGGCATCACTATAACAGATTCTATTGGAAGGGGTGGCAACTCAGTCAATGGAAGATCCAAATTCAAATTGGTTACTGGTCCTGGGGATCACTTGTATATGTCATATGTAATTGTAACAGTGGTTAATGTTCTCATGCTGCCAGGAAAACTTAGTTTGGCCTAGTGCTGTGTAGTATTGATGTACAAAAGGTTACGTAGGTTAAACAGTGCTGGGAGCGCGCGTGTTAGCAGCCATTACTTACGTTCTGGCTTCCTGACCAAAAACCCTCTTAGGGTCATAGCAATTTTCGGGGCTCCCTCAATGTGCAGCCTTATGATGCAATTATCATATCAACAAACTGCTTAGATTATTAATTTGCTCCATGTTGATAGCAGTGGAAACCCGTTGTTATCAAACTGGCTTGGCAGGGCATTGACTCGATGATTTGTCAACTAACATCTTGGCTTGAGTCGGTTTAACTTTGAACCGTTCAGAGAGATAATTTAATCAAATTTGAATGACTTAGCAGGTGAATATGCAACTCATTAAAAATACTCCTCGACCTTGGGTTTATATGTTTGATCTTGTTACCCTTAGTTTTGGCTTGTCTTGGACTTTTGCTTGGCCTATAAAAAAACAACTAAAGCTTCTTACTAGTAGAATTTATGATGGTGATGCCAGCTCGCTTAAAATTATATGGAATAATTTAGAGAAAATGACTCATGAGTTGTTTCAAAGATCACATTTCTCAAATATGCTGAAGCATATGCGCGCAAAAACTTTAGCTTTAAAGAGATACTCTTCCTTTTGTTTTTATGTCAAACTATTTTTCATTCCCTAATTTCAACATTGTTCCAAGATGTACAAAGGTCTAAAGCATCCACTCTTTTTTGTATTCCATATGTAAATATGCAACAAAAATATTGATAAAAGATGTTAATTTAAAAGGTAGTCCTCTCTATCAAAGGGGGTAATTTGAAAGGCTGAGAAGCACGTCCCGTGGATTTTTCATCAACAAGATAGAACTTTTATTTTTGCCTATCAAGCTCCTAATTAAAGTTTGCCTATCAAGCTCTTAATTAAAGAAAAAATCTAAATTTAATGGTTATTGGATAGGGCCAAATTAAGAATATCTTGAAAAACCAGGATTGAAAATTGAGATTTTAAAAAGGAGGAGCCTAATGTAAAACATTGCCAAAACTCATAGGAGCATAAATATAATGTACTACCCTTTTTATGGTATAAGAAATTGAATAAATATAGCATATATGTGTGTGTGTGTGTGTGTGTGTCTATATATATATATAGAGAGAGACTAAAAATTGATGGACAAGAAAAACCAAGAACTCATGGAAGATTTCGAAAAGAAGGCATCATTAACAGATACAGAGGCAATGGAGACTGAAGCAGCCGCCAGCAGCAGCAAATCCTCCAACAGCCTTCTTTTGCTCCGCAGATTCCTTGAAATCCAGCAAAGAAGAGCCCAAGCTTATGCCAAGCTCAAACAGTACTTTCCCTCTCTCCCTCCCTCTCATTTCTTTTTTTCCCCTCCGGAAAGCACTTCATTTGAGCTTTTGATATTATTAATGAATGTAAAGCTGGAAAGGACTATTTGGGCCAGCTATGTTTATGGATTTTATTTGAGAAGTTTAGTTCTTTATTGGGTTTTAATTGGCTTATATCGATGAATTTAGGAGCGAAAAAAGATTGAATTTTTAGAGGTAACCCGGTTGTGATTTTAGGTCTTTCTTCCTTAGAAAAGTTGTTTCTTTTGGGTTCTTGATTGGTTTCAGTTAAAGGGTTGAGATTGAGGAACAAAATGATTGAATTTTTAGAGTGATCTTGAGGAACCCTGTTGTGATTTTGGGTTAACTTCTTTATCTGGTATGAAAATTGTGTTATTTTAAAAAAAAAAATGACGATTTCAGATAAGGAATTAAGACTGGGGAACAGAAAAACTGAGTTTTGATGATCGTTTGGGAACCCCATTCTGATTTTAGGTTAATCCTCCTTGTATGGTTGTTTTCCTTTATATTTCTCAAATTCAACTAGTTTCTTAAGTATATATTTGATCAAAATCTATTCCGTATGTTCTTTTGCAGCTAGACTGTGTCACAATTTGGTATATTTAATGCATTAATCATGCCCACCTCTTATCTTTATTTTTTTTTCCTTTATCTATTTCTGCTTATGACATGTAGGGTCGGTATCATTATTTTAACTTTCCAGTTGTCCCATCCGTTATATTTGTCAGTTTCAGTCCTTGTTTCTCACTGAAAAGTTTGATCCTTCTTGCTTGTTCAACCAATCCTTCATGGAATAATGCAACTTGCTTACAGTTTCTTGGGAGTCCATATGGCTTCATTTGTGCCTAAGGACCTCTTCATGGTTCTGGTATCTGGATCACATCATAGAGGCCTGATTTTTCTTTTTGGGAAATGAGTGAACAAGCTCTTGGAAATTGGACACAAGTTTCCCATCTGTGTTTTGATCTGAAAGTTTATTACAGAATAAGCTTTGGTCTGCATTATGTACGACTAAACTATTTATGGGGGATTCTGATGCTTGTTTTCCAGGGGTTTTTCTGAATATATGGTCTCAGGAGGGGAATTAGCTTACCAGCAGCTTTGCAGCAAGATCACAGAAGAGTTCAATGACTGCTCCAAACAAGTACACCCATGATCCTACTAGTAGTATTTCTTTCTTTTCCTTTCCTTTTCACTCTCTCCCCTTTTTTATTTTTTCCTGGAACTCTGTATTTAATGATTTTTCCTATTCTACTTGAGTGCAGGTAATTGAAATGGAGTCCCTATTTCTAAACCCTGACCATGACCGAGTTGATCTGGCTCACCTTCTCCGAGACATCCAAACACAAGAAAAGCAGAAGTTGCATCTGGTACATGCTCGTGCAAACCTGTGATTTCTTTCATTGGTGTCCCTTTGGGAACTTTGGATAGAAACCTGCAATTATGTCTCCATTCATCAATTACCTGCTTCATGTTTGGTAGCATTTACATCGTTTCCTTTGCTTTCTCTTAAAGACAGCAACCATTCAGCTGTTAAAGAAGGCTGGTCGGCCATCAGAACGTCTTGTGAACCATGAAAACTGCAGATTTCCAAAACCAATGGAGCATGAGTGTGTGCACCTTCATGAAATAACTGAAGCTTCTGGAACTGAAGAGGCAGAAGCAGATGCTGAGTACGATAATGCTCTCAAGGAAGCAATCAGAGGTGTACAGGATTCTGTAACCACCATAAATGAACACCTGGAAGAAATCAAATATGAGATTGCAGCCCTTGAAGCCCAGTGACGCGACATTTTTACCGATCCAAGACTGCATGACAAAAAAATTCACTAGAGGTAAGAGTCTGCGGTTGTGAAAAAGGTGGCAAGAATCGATAATGCAGATTGTACAATGTCCATGCTTATTGAGTTAATGCTGTATTGTTTGGGTCAATGAAATGCAGATAAGATGCTCTCCTTTTTGTTTTCTCCTTTTCTCACGTATAGCAATCACAACTTTTGCAATCAATCATGCCGGTTCTATGTGAAACTGCTTCTTCCTTATTAGAATCTTCAATACCTAACTGGCATAACACAATAATATTGAAACTGGTATGCTCCATATTATCAAACATTCAGAGGACAGTGAAACCTGACAAATAGAACGACAGAGGCCTAAAGCTGAGCCTAGAGCAGCTTCCCTGCTTGATGGATTCTGAGATGGGGCAAAGAGGGAAGATTTCATGAGACTATGCTTGGCAAATGGGTTGATTATGTAGCTTCCTGGACATTTACGAGGAATTCTATACGGTAACTTATAAGGGTTGTTGTGTGTCTCGGAGCCTATTTGGTTGTAATACCGGTTGTTTTTCGTAATACTTTTCGCATAGATATTGTTTTTCAATATTTTTCATTTAAAAATATATTAAAATAATTTTTTTATTTTTTTAAATTTATTTTTGATACTATCAAATTAAAACGATTTAAAAATACTAAAATAAAATTAGCTTGAAACAAAGAAAAAAAAATTAAAAAAATATATATTTTTTTAAATACATTTGAAATGAAAAAACATACAGGCTTCTGAGACCCTTTCTTGTCCCGGAATCAATAACAGCATGAACAGTCTCCAGCAGAAATAGCTAACCGGTTACTCATTTCTTGTCCCGGAATCAATAACAGCATGAACAGTCTCCAGCAGAAATAGCTAACCGGTTGCTCTGAGTGTGCATTTGTGGAAACCAATCAACAAAAAAGCTTGCACTCATGGTCTTTGCTCCGGAATTCCATGGAGACTGCTTGAATTGAAACTGTTACTGTAGTTATTAAACCTGACCAGTCAATGTGATTGTAACATGCAGTTGCAAATAATGTAGCTTTGTATATTCGTGACATTAGCAGTATATGGGATCAGAATTCTCAGTTCTCTTCTTAGTATTACAGCCACCTGCAATGCTATTGTGCACTGTCCAATGAAAACCTTAATCTTGCATTGGACGTTCATGGGCCAGACTTGTTTCCATACCAGGTTAGCAAAGCTGTCGCCGCCATCATCGTCACCGATTCTCCCTCAACCTTCTCGTTTCATGAGATCCACCACCTTATAATATTTACGAACCTAACTTGTATTCCAAAACTGCATGCATCTACTCGTTCACGTATGAACTAAATGGAGATGACAATGGGCGGGTTACAGTTCTCCCATACCCAACCATTTTGATCAGGTTTGAGGTGGAGGGAAATAGTTTTCCCCTTTGGGGTTTCGAGTGGGTCTAGGGATTCCCCATTAATATAATTTCTTGCATTTAAAATTACTATATGATTGCTAATATCCGATGAAAAAGTTAGATTATATACACACAAGTGTTGTTCATAGTTAAATATAAGTTATCAAAATGTAAATCTAACAAATCAATTATTTAAAAAATATAACAGAAAAAAGAAAAAAAAATACATGAGTATATATAATCGGGCATGGGTTTTCCACAACATGGGAGTATATACCCCGTCCCCGTCGAGGAAAAAATGCCCTCCACAGCCACCACCTCTGTCGGGCCGGATTTAATCGATTACCTATAGAGATGGGTAATTTTGCCATCCCCAACCCTAATTGCAAATTATATGCTCTAGCTAGAGGAAATATTAGTGAATTCCTCAGGCAGGTTGCACTGATAATAGTCCACATGCAGGAGAAAATGGTTTTTAAATTATGATGGTTTTTAATTTGGAATCAATTTTTTACAAATCAAGGTGTTTGGAGCATGGTTTTAAAACTCGATCTGAGCAAAGTCCACATCACTGGTTGGAGGGTTAATCCAAGTAATTCTTGTTTCAACTTTGACCCCATGTATTCCTTTCTTGATTGACAACTTGCCACCAACACCAAGTTATGCCTGATGTGCAGATGCAGAAAAACTGGACAAGCTAGCTGCTAGCTCTAGTGCTGACTGCAAGCAACTTTGTGAATGTTAAGTGGCAGCAATGAAGTCTTCCCCTATTAACTCTGAGAGAGTTCAGCAACCCCCCAAACTTTGCCAACTCCAAGTCACCATTCCTAGTGGCCCTAAAGTCGATTGTAGCAAGTGTTCTTTGAGAAAATATAGCTTAAGGGCAATCTTATGCAATTTCTTCAGGGATTTGATTCTTTTCTTGTTTTTGTGATGTGCAGAATTTGATTAAACAGTGAAGAAACTCTTTGAGACGGTGATATGTATTGAGGAAATAAAGTTGGAGGGGTTGGGCATGGCTAAAAAACGCACTAAGAAAAATATATGCTTGTCTATTTAAACATGAATCTAATGTAATAGAACTTCGAAGAATTCATATGATGTTTCATGGGTGAATTCAGAAATGTTCCATACCAACGCACATTTGTCCAGAATGGTGCCAATGCATGTCCACGCTATAATTCAAGTACAAAGACCATGTTGACAAACTTTAAGGCAAAACTGGATAGTTAATAAGAGAGTGAACATAGTTTACAAATCCTGAAGGGGTGGTGAAATTACAATGCTTGACACATTTACAGGAAGGTGCAATGTTAGTCAACAATTTCTCCCTCTTCAACCCTATCAACTTCGTCAACAATATCACATTTTCCCCTGACAAAACAATTCCCCAGCTCGACTTGAGCATCATGTTCCATGTTGTCATCCCTATCACCAAAGTTTTCAGCTATTGTGTTGTTCCTGTCTTCAGAAACTTCTTCCCCGACGAGTGAGGATTTTTTTTCTACAATCTCATCCTCATAACCATCTTCTTTGACCACTACTGAAGGAAATTTCAAAGGTTTCTCTGGCCAATCCTTGAAGAAAGAGTTCGCCACCATGAACCGAAAAACCTGCAATAATTGGCGCTTATCTCTCTTTATATCTGTGCTCAGAAGCTTCTCCAATAGTGTTGGCTTCCTTTCTTCATTTGCTGATCCAACCTGCTTGGCTGACCGACCTTTTTTGTTAAATCTTCCTCTTTTATCATGCTTGTTCCAGAATTTCCCTTTCTTATTCGAGGACCTTCTGTTATCTTCCCTTCCATGCTCTTGTTTCTCTAAATCTAACAGATGCCGTGGTGGTATTTCTGCAACCTCAACTCCTAGTTTCTCTGAATTTAACACCTGTGGTGGTGGTATTTCTGCAACTTCAATTCCTAGCTTCTCTGAATCTAACAGATAGTCTGGCGGTATTTCTGCGACTTCAACTCCTAGCTCAGCCTGCTTTGCCAAAATCTCCTTGAGTTGCTGCATCAAACACGTCCAACAAATTACCAAAAGTTGAAGCATATTGTAGCTTAAAAATTTTCACTAGTTCCTTTCCTTGATATAAATTTCCATCACCTTAAAAAAAACCAAACAATCCTTTCATAATGCACCCATTCTTACTCTCTTTCACCCCGTTATAAAATGAGCTTTCTAGTGATGAATTATGTAAAAGGCTATAATTTCAAACAAGGAAGAGATCTATGCTGTGGAATAAAATGTTCATTGGGATTATATATTTTGCCAGAAAAAATTGACCATTCATGGAAGAACATATTATACAAACAAGGTCTTGTCAAGTGGCCCTAGTATATGTGCCAAATATACAATACAATAGATGGGGGGGGGGGGGGGGGGGGGGGAGTGGGGGGGGGAGGTGGTCAGGGGTTTTACCTCGCGACGAAAGTTGGCCTCTCTATCAATGACCTCCATCTGCTTCTGCCAGGTGTCAAGTTCATGATCAGCTCAATTATTTGAGTTAATAATTAAATACAGCATAATAGCACAGAACAGGATTGAACCTTCTCGATGTTGGTTGTTGTTGGGTAGTGCTTCCTACGTGATTCACGCCATTGTTTGATTTCTTGTTCTGTGTAAAAAAAAGTTCTGCTAGGTTTACTGATGTACAGAGTTAAACCAGCAAACAAACAAAATACAGAAATTAGTAGTGTAAAAGTGGATTGAAGAAAGAGGCAATGGCAGTTTACCTGCCTGCCCTAGCATTTGCATTCTTGAAGTAACTTGAATAATAATACGAGGTCTACGAGGTCACCCTGATATGACACTTTCTCAAATTGGTAAGTAACAACAGATCAAGCAAGCATTACCTTTTCTCTTCTGTAGCTTGGTCTGTAAGATCAGCGCGACCAAATTTTGCTACCCTCTCATTGCCGTTCCCTGACGCATTTTTAGAGAACAAGGTTTAAACCACCTATCTCCCTCAAGACATACGAAGAGGAGGTGAGCTTGTAGTAAGGTCTAAGATTACAAACCTTTTCTGCCATGTTCATTAGAAAACTCAAGCTTTCTCTTTCCATTATCCATGCAATTGAAATCAGATTTCTGGTGTCTGCAGAAATTGAATTTCAGATTATTAAAAGACAATTCCATATAGTAGTGGAACATAGAAACCAAAAGTTTCAATACACACCCTGATTGTGATCGCCCTCTATTTCGATTATTTTTGAAGTTTTTTCCAGAAGACTTTTCCCATTTGGATTTTGGAGTGCTACTCTGGCCATTTCTGGCAGTATTACCCTACAACAAGGACAAAAAACTTGAATTCATCTATATTTGTAGGAAAGCCATCAATTGGGAATGCACGACATTTTGGAGAGGTAACGGAAAAAATAAAGAGAAAAGCATCGACAAAACTACATAAAGATTTGGAACAAATTTCATATACAAAAAGCCAAATAATTAAATTGCAAGTGAGTAAACCTCACTAAAAAATTAGAGAAGCAACTTGAAAAACGTGCCAGCTACCATGAATGATAGCATACTGAAGCATGGAAAGTGCATAAAACAAACCATGATCACTGGATTGCATAAATGACACGAACCCAGAAAGAAATCGTCCAAGTTAAATACGGTTACCTGCCACCTATTGTATGTAGAGGGCTGCGAGTTCCAACTTTGCTGAGACGCAGATGAGTTCCCTTGCCCTTGCTGAGTTGCAATAGGCAATGGCTTTGCTCCATTTGCAGCCATTGCAGGCATTGGAACTTTCTCACTTTGCTGTAATGCAGGCAAGTTCCCTTCCACTTGCTGAGTTGCAACATTTGGTCCATTTGCACCCACTGTGGGCATCAAAAAGCTCTGACCTTGCTGTGACGCAGACAATTTCCCTTGGACTTGCTGATCTGCAACATGCAATAGCTTCGATCCAAATGCACTAGTTGTCGGCATTGCATAGTTGGGCTGGTTGGGATTAACTCGTTGCTCGGCTCCAAACGGTGGATTTACAAAAAAGTTCTGACTTTGAGCACCTACCACTTGGTGATTGCTTGAAGGGACATTAAAGGAACCAACTTGAGAATTTATTGGCATTTGCAAAGGCATAACAGGGTTCATCATATTCTGCATTGGATTTTGTAACAAACCCATATTTTGATTGAGTTGTTGTGGCAAATTGGAGAAACTAGGACCAAACAGCTCTCCTTGCAATTGGTTTACTTGATCCATCAACATCTTTAAAGCATTCAACTTGTTGACTTGATTTTGTAACTGAAGGATAGCCAGATCATTAGGTCCGCTCACTATACCAGGTTGTTGAGCCATCAAAGGTGGCATATTAGCCATCGCTTGTCCATTGCTTAAAAGGGTGTTTGAATTATTGAAAGGAATTGGAATCTGAGGATTGATTAAACCCAGTTGCGGTTGCATTGGCATTGAATTTGCTAAAGATGGGTTAGTTGAAAAAGCCTGATAAATTCAACAAAAAAAAGAGGAAAAAAACAAAAACAGCTCTAAATTAGAACAAATAAAAAACCCTTTAACATACAAAATTATCAGACAGAGAGAGGGCTATAGTACCTGTTGATTAAGAGGAGCGGTGTTGCCGTTTTGCTTGTGATGCTTAGGACGACGGGAATTGAAGAAAGGTTTCATCTTTTGATCATCAAGACTGCTACTTTACAAGTTGCAGAGATTTTTACTCAATTTAGCAAGCAAGAAGAGAGGGTGTTAGGGTTTAAGCTTTAACAGGAGGAAGGCGGGTTTATCTTTCTAGAGTTTGTACTTTGTAGGCTAGCCAGAAGCCACAAACCTACTACCACTAGCGCGTTTTTTTCCTCTTTTTTTTTCTCTGCTAAAAATAAAAGGATAACTACATGCTTGTCCTCATGTGTACAGTTACTAAGCAATAATTCCCCAATATTTAAACTGTAGCTAATTGTTCACATATTTCTTTGATTTAACACATTTGTCCCTCCTCATTGTTTCTTTTGATTCGTGCTAAAGAGAACTAGCATTATGCAGCTGTCCACCGTATTAATCATAAGAAGGGAAGAATTCACGAAAAGAAACTGGGACTAGTTTAGAATTATAAGGACTTCATTACTCTTTTTTTATTTTTTTTTAATTAGAAGGGTTTTTTACAATTTCATAGATCATGAAAAAAATATAATGGCTTCACTTTATGCGACCATTTCAACTATATATCATTAAAAGGGACTAATAAATTAATTTAAATACATTACAAGGACTAACATAGAATTAACCCTCAAAGTTACCTTGTACTATATCTTAACGAACTTGACTTGAAAAAAAAAACAAAACACAGAACATCCAAACTCAGATGGCACAACATCTACGACAATGTCGACCAGCAACACCCCGGCTTCTTCCTACCGGCCTCCGTGACCAGCAGTGGCTGTCCAGTCCTCCACCAAACCGAAGTAGACTGCAACCTCCTTTCCGCCGTAGACCTTGAAACCGAACCCACCACAACAACCACCTCCATCAATTCCCTCGACTTCCCGCCATTTAAATCAGGCCTCCTAACCGTCACCACACACCGTCTCCTCCGGTTTCCTTCCAATGCCACCACATACAGTTCAAGTCCAATACCAATCTCTTTGAATTCTGTAACACATATTTTCACCAAAGAAGTCGACCAAGTCAATGTTTCACTCACCCTGGATCCGGTTTCAAATTTCAATGCATTCGAGGAGTGTTGTGGTGACTTTAGTGATAAGAGGGAAGCGGGGAATTGGTGATTTTTTTGACAACGTTTTGGGATTGTTGGAGAGGAAGGGCTTGGGAGATTGGTAATGATAGTGGTGGTGGGTCGGGTTCCGGTTCTGTTCGGGTTCGGGTGGTGGGTTATACCCCAGTGCTGAGTCATTGAGGCTGGTGGGTGTGGCTGGGATATTGAGGAAAGAGCAGGAGATGTGGGAGAGTACTGGCAAGAGTATGCAAGAGGCTTTTCAAGACTAGAATGCTCTTATGGTAATTGTTTTATTTCCAGAAAGTTTATTTCTCGTAGATGGTGTTTAGTTTTAACTGATGTTATTGAGTTGTCTGATAATGGACTAGTATTTTATAATTGCATATGAACAATGTGTTCATGTACGAGCTTGTAGGAGATAATTAGTTGTAATTATTGGGTTATCCAGGAAACATTAATGGATTAGTGGTTAAAAATAACTCGATGCTGAGGATATGGTCTTGCATTTGTTAGATTATGCAAGAAACGAGAACAATAATTTTGGTTTTGACTTGTGTCTAATGTGTTAAGCCAAATTGTTATTGCTCAATCACTTTCTTTTTGGTCATTCTGAAAAAGATTATAGCTTGCGGGAGATGTTTAATTTCATTTTATCGCTATTTAACAATAGAGTAATGTATTAGTATTTGAAGTAACTTGACATGAACTATTACGCACATGGACTGTTGCATTGCTTAGACCATGTGAGAAGCAAATTATCTGAACTTTTGGATTTGGAGACTGCAATTGTGAGGTTTTGACGGGGGCTGGTGTGCATTGCTTAGATTACGTGAGAAGTGAGTTATCTGAATGTTTGGCTTTGAAACGAGACTGCAATAGCTAGGTTTTGGCTTGTGTACAAGTGTTGAGTTAAATTGTTATTGTTTTATCACTATGGGTTAGGCTGCTGCTGCTTTATGTTCTGTGGTTTTTAAATCTACAGCGCAAGGCTCAAGAGATGGTCATGCTAGCAGAGAAGATTAGGCAGAAGCTTTGTCTGGCTCGAACTCTCAAAGTAGTTCTGGAAATGATGAGGAAATGGGTTCCAAAGAAGACATGCAAGAGTGGCTGTAGAGTGTTGGTATCATATCCCCAGTAACAAAAGAGTCTGCTGGTGCCATGTATCATCAACAACTGTCCCGTCAGGTCTATTTCGTTTGCCACCTGTCTGTATGCGTTTCTCATGGCTTAATTGTTTCATAAGAGAAATATAGTTGAATCTTCTTAATAGTACCTGCTTTTGTTGGCTGAGTATGCTTCTTAAATATATATTGTTTTACTCGATTTTCTTCCCTTAAAGAAGAGAATATCAAATTTTCTTTGTTGTTGCTTAGTTTGCAGATTTTGTCAGAATTCCCTTAGAGAAAGCTGGAGGAATGATCAATCTTATAGATATCTATTGCCTCCACAGTCGTGCTCCGGGCACAGGTTTGTTTGATCCGTTGTTGTTGCTGTTGCTAATGGGCCCTTATTCTTTCTGTGCTGTTCTGCATAGAATTGATCTCGCCTGAGGATTTGTTGCAAGCATGTTCTCTTTGGGGGGAGTTTGATGTGTATGTATGATTCTATCTTCAATTACTCGGGCATTAAGTTGTCTGTTTTGAGATCCAAATAGGGGGAGTAATTAATTTATTTAGAAGAAGAATTTTCACTTCAATGTTATTTCAATTACTAGAACCAGCTATTTTAATTACTAGAACGAAAGTAATATTTTTTAAATTAGTATTTTGGATGGTCTCACCATCTGCCCCATGAAATGTGTTCCTAGTTAGAAGAGAGTTTGGCATGGAGATAGAAAGGGAAAAATAAACAACTATCCCTACAACAAACTCATTTCCTTGTTTGAGATCTGTGAATCGGTGCTCGCAATAGAAAATTGTTGAAAGGGGTGAAACAACGCATATTACAGTACTGAATTGTGTGAAGAATGAGCAATTAGATGATACACAGCAATGCCCTTTGGCCAGAGCATCAATGCTAACTTTGAGATAGAGAGGGAGGGAGGGAGAAGCTTTAATTGAAGTGCTTGGAAAAGAAAGAAAGGTAAATAAAAGAGAGAGAAATTGCACAAAAAATTAATTACAATTTTCTTTTCTCTAATTGTGCATGAACACAAAAGAATACTTTTATTTTATTATTCCCACATATTTCTGCCTGCCTTCTTTTATTGTAGTGGGAAGCCCACATGGAATACTTACTCCTCACCTCCTCCATAGTTTTCCCCTCTCCACTAACCAACACCAGACAGCTCACCACCACCATACTTGGCACACAAAAAGGACAAAAAAAATTAAAATAAAAAAGGAGAAGAATATCTTTTGCTGTTCAAAGGGCCTCTAAAACTAAGGACAATGACCCTTTTCTTCCCATGCAATCATGGAACTTGAGTAACACAAAAACAATAAGAACATCATCACACCATGATCCCTTTTCACCTTTGGTTGCCGGCTTCCCATGTGAAAAACTAGAACCTATTTGTAGAGAAGAAAATTCAGATACAAGGACTTTGCATGATCTCAGCAGCTCACCTGCATTTAAGCCATGTCATGCTATCATTAGCATAAACAATTCACAGTAAAACTTCAATTTTTAGGCTGTGATTTCCTTTTACGTTGTGGTGGAAAGATGTATTTACTTTACTTGATAGCAAATTGTTGCCCTTTTCAGGTTCAGTAAAACAAACAAGTCACACATTGACATGGAATTAGCTCAAACATCAAGAAGGTTCAAAGGGAATTGTGCGTGTGTGTATATAAAAGAAGAAGACTTTCTTACATTTTTTAGTTTCACAGTGATAAATTACCATTTGTTTTGGTTAATGTGCCGGGATAAAAGTTAAAAAAACACATTTGGTTGGAAAATTAAAGATAAATATATAAATTAAATATTTAAGGGGCAATTTGAAGTGAATTTTTATGAAGGATATGAAAACAAGTTCTTTTCATCTCTACTATCTTTGCTTTTTTCTATCTTAACCGAATGACGCCATCTTGTAGACATCAAGTTCTATACTTTCATCATGTATGCTTTTCTAACATCGTGCCTTTTTGTCAATGTGTGAGCTCTTGAAGGATGTAAGCAATGCACTGGATACTGCTGGGAGGTTGACCTCAACAATCACATGCTGCACAGCTTGGAATGAGTCTAGGTCATGGAGAAATGGTATAAAATAATGTCGATTACATGGAATAGACCTAAACGAATGGTTCCTATGTGATTTTCCTTGGTTGTTAGGTTGCTGTGATTTGTCAACGCAGATTAAGAAACCCTAACGAAGAACAACGACATCAAACCTTATATTTTATAGATGGATTAGGAGTAGAATCAACCTAAGAATATCACCTTTATCCTTCTTTGAAGTATTCCTTTTCATACAAGGAAGTCTTTATTTACTGGCATGTGGTGAAATGTGAATCTTGCCCAAATGTCCCGAGCATCCTGCAAGCCACTTCAAGCAACTTCCCTGCCAAATATTATACACGTTAAAGTGTTAAACACCCTTTAGTCACTGAAAGCTACGTGCTAACTTCGACAGGTTCATGAAACCAACACTCGACAGCAACATAAAACCTAAAATAATTGCCCTAATCAACCAACCAACATGCATTTGTATCAATACTTGATTTTGTCATGCATGCTAAACAATGTTAAACACTCCAGAGTGGCAATTGCATGGAGGGCATATCCTCCGTGTAGCTATCCAAGCCTGACACGGGAGAGATCTGTGCAGTTCTTTCTCACAGCTAGAAAAGCAACAGTACAAAGAGGAACAGAGAGGTCTGATTTTTTATATATAATACAAGAAGTCAAAGAAACGTGTGGATACCAACTCTATGCTTTGAAATACATAATGGAGTTTCCAGTTTGCGTAGCGTTTGACAGGATACTCCAACTGTATGCTAAAAGATGGTCCCAGAACCGCTAACTGTATACTATATACTCAAATAACTTCTAATAAAAACAAAATAAATCATGCCCAATAATTGTTTTCAAACCAAATGAATTTATTGTGTGCTAAGATCATAGACATAAATGAGCAAAAACACCCTGTCTTCTGTTGGCCTTTGTAATTAAGAAGGGTGCAAGTCGGCATTACAAACAAAACACTATAGTTCTTGTTATGGCAGGAACTAGTGTGTGTGTGTATTTTTATTCATCCAAGTCTTTTTTATAGATTATAAGGGTGCAAGACTTTATTTTGATTTAAAATAAAATAAAATGAAACAAGTCATTTTATTAAAAAAAGAAAAAATAAGTTCAAAATAAAATAAAATTTAAACTGAGTTGAGTTTTATAAGTATGGATGAAATATAACAAAAAATGAGAGTAGGTAATAATTTTATTTTACCTTTCATGTTCTATACCATTCTTGCTATAATCTATGGAATTGGTAGGGATGTTGGCTTCACAACATCTACATAAATAAATAATAATGTCATAATAAACTTCATTGGTAGTTGCAAGGCATTGTCCTAAGAGATCATGAATCAAATTAAGAGAGGAGATGGCTGGCTCAGCTCATGTAATGTTAAAAGGAATATTTTCAGAATAATCTCAAATTTTTTAGTCCACTAGCTTCTGATAATTGTGATTAACAAAATCAAAGGCAGAATAATTAAGTTACGAGCACCACAGATATCATATCTTCTGCAATGTACTAATGTCTCACAAACTAAAGAGTGAAGACCCACCAAAAGTGGGGAGGGGAAGGAAAAGACAAATATGCCATTCTGGCGAGCTCTGACCACCGACACTCACAATCCCCCAGGCCAATCCTAACCCAAAAGCCAAAACCCACCCTTTCCTGGCCAAAGCCACCACCGGAACTTTTTTACTAAAACCGAAATATCGGTCAACATTAAAATTAACTCCCAAAGAAGTCCACAAAATAAGAACCTCAAGACTGTAACAATGCAAGGTCAGCAAATTCAATAACATGATCACAAAAAAGAAAAAGACAAAAGAAAACCCTTTACCCTCCCCGCGAAATAAACCATCGAAATATCTGAACCGAAATAGAAATATCGGCCCATATCGAAATTAACCCTGGAAGGTGGACAGTAACTAAAAAAAGAAAAACTAGCAGAGCAAGCAAAGTCAATACAACACACCTGTAGTAAAAAAAAGCCCTCTACAGCTCCGGCCAAATAAACAACCGAAACATCTAAACCAAAACCGAAATAACGCCGAGACGAGATTTAAAAATAAAACACTAAGCAAACGAAATTCAAGGGAACATACCTCTCCTTTGCGGCTTAGCAGCAACCTTAACACTCTTCATTTCCGTCTTTGTATCCGATTTCTCCTTCTCCTCTAATGGAAAAAGAACCCCATCAATCCCTTGAACAGAGATTCTTCCGTCTGTGTAAATATCAGGATCAAACAAATAAGCAGAATTATCAGCATGTCCAAATTTCACAGACCCATCAGCTTCTTGTGCCAAAACTTTGTGTGGCAATCTTAATGTATCATAAGAAATCTTCCCAAATCTTCTAACAGCATTGTACATGCTTTCTTCAGTTTGATACTCTGGTATCACATGGTAATAGATTATCTGCTCCGGTGCTCCTGGCTCGCTCAATTGGTCTGTTGTGAGCTTAGCCATTGCTTCATCATTTGGGGCTAAAACTGTTAGCACATAACCTTCAGATACCAATCTTCCCATTTCTGTTGCTAATGATGTTAAATTCACAAGAATATCAGCCATTTCATTGTATCCTCCATACAAGAGAAGGGTTTCAATGAAATCTTTAACCTGTCTTTCTCCATTGAAATGGTGATGAGGTCCACCTGGACCAGGAGCTGGAGCCGGGGCAAGAGATGGGCCGGGTGCCATTGCATCGTAGATTGGTAGAACCGGGGCTGAACCAGGTTTTGCTGGTGGTGCTGGTTTCTTCAACCTGTGTGTTCTTGGATCAACCTCTGGTGCTCCTTCTGGTTTCACAGCAGAAATTGATTGCAAACTCCTGCGATTGTTGAAATCTTGTTGAACAGATCGTGGGATTAGCAACCTTTCAATCCCATGAATTACGCCATCTGGCCTCTCCACTGCATTCACTTGAATGATTTTCGCCGAGTCTATTAACTTCTCGCCGGATTGACTGCCGAGCTTGATTCTGTCGCGGCACAAAGTGCTGTGATGGTGAAGAGAAGAGTTGTGGCTGAGATTGATTCTGTTGGGGACAATGTGATAAAGTAGGAGAGTCTGGAGAGACTTGAGATTGCCAGGTTCAAGCAAGAACCGCTTGAACTCGGGATCAAGATCGCGTTCGAGAGCTTCATTTCTAGGAGCAAAGATGGTGATGTTGTGTTTACCAACAGCATCTTCAAGGGTCTGTAAAAGAAGTGCCTTTTCAACAAGTTCAGCCAGTTCTGTATAATGTGAGTCAAGAAGGGCTACAAGAACTGAGTTTGAGTTGATTTGGCCTGAATAAGACCCATTGCTATGGTTTTCTTGCAATGTAGAGGAGGAGGAAGAGAACCCCAGATGAAAATTTGAGAGAAGAAGAATAGAAGCGAGGAAAATGTGGATGCAAGGAGGTGAAGGCGCCGCGGCCATTGAAGAAGGAAAAGATTGATGGAGGGTTAAATTGGCTTGTTGAAGAGGTGATGATAGATATATAAAAATAGAAGAGGTGAGGGGTTGGGTTGGTTTTGCTTGCTTCGAAGGCCAGTCTTTTCTTTCTTTCGCTTCTCAGTACTTTGTTTTTCTTGGGCTCCCTCTCTGGTGTTGTGTTTTGTACTTTTATACATTCGTTGAAGGTACATAAAACGAGGGGAGAAGACAGTGACACAGTGTCTTGTTGGGTAGTTTACTGTTTTTCTGGCGGTTAAAAGCTTCTTTCACAGTGTTTTTTCTTTCTGCAGTAAATTTTTCTTTTCAATTTTTAAGTGAAATTTATTTTTTAAAAATAAGATTATCACCCTCTCAAATATTTTTTATATGATTTTATATTTATTAATGTATATTTTTTTTTATAATTTTATATTTATTAATGTGTTTGGCATGGTAATAAAATATATATTTTAATTTTTTTTAATTAATGATATTTTTAATATAAATACATTAAAATAATTCAAAACACTTGAAAAAAAATCTTTATTCAATATATTTTCCAGCAAATTAAAATTTTAAAAGCACTTTATAAAACAAAAACAAACAATCTCGGAGGTGATTAGTAAGCTTTACTATTATATGATCTCATAAGTGCTTTACACCTAGTATGATAAATCAAATAATGTTGTTTTAACGTGAAATTCTTTTTGACTTTTATTTTTAAATCATCAACTTAGAAACTCGACAAGCTTGTTTATAGTGATTTTTTAAAGTAATTTTTATATTAAAATAATATTTTTAAAATTTTTTAAAAATTATTTTTAAAATTACCATATTAAAACAATCCAAAACATAAAAAATAATTTTTTAATAAAAAAATAATTTTTTGTAAAAAATGATTCGTTAGTTGGAAAATCCGAGTCCGAGCACATGTCATGATATTGGAAGACTCATTTTGAAAGTAAAGGATTGATATTAGTAATAAAAACACAGGGAGGAAACAGTATAAAAATAAAAATACAAGGACTAAAAAGGGTCTTCTAAGCATTCTGTGGTTGGGTGAAAAAAGCGTCGGTTGCTGGTTAAGGAGAGGGAAGTGTAACACGTGGGAACAATTCTTTCTTTATTTTTCTAGTTGCCGGCATCCCAAAGGTCTTCCCTAGCAAGCAAGACTGGACGTGGGAGTTTTCTTTTATATCACGCGTGTCAAAAATGCTAGACAGCCCTCAAACTTTGTTCAAGGATGTTGGTCCACAAACTAGCCTTATGTCCTTGTGGGCTCTATAGTTTTATTTTTATACAAATTTGCGATGGGCCATTGCTGGTGCTCCCATGCTTGCCCTTACCCCACCCAAAAAGTCATGTCCTTTTTTCTTGATTTTGGAAATCTTTTTACAATATTGGAGATGTTAGATTTACTAATCTCATATTGATAATAATTTTTAAGGGGGGTAAATACTTTTATCTACCATGTAATTACAAAAAAAATCCTTTTTTTACTGCATTTTAAAAAGGCTAAATTTAATATTTTTTAAAATTATATAAATACTTTTATATTTTGAAGTAGTGTTAAATTATTGTTCCATAACAAAAAAGATAAAAATATTAAAGATAGAAAAAACATATCCCCTTGTAATTTATATTTTAAAAATACATAAAAAATATTAAAATATATATATATATATATTTATCTTTTTTCTTCTACCAAACTATAGTCAAAACATATAGTCTAAATTAGGTTTGATGACTCCAAAAAATCGTGCATTAATTCTCAAAATAACACATCCAAGATTACCCAAGAGTCTATTCACATCAATATTTTGACTCAAAGCCCAATAGTCCAAAATCATGGGCCATTTTTCCAGTAAGGAGACCATACTAGGCCCATCCCGACAGCATCTGACGTTGCAACATAAGAAAGGAAAAACCTCAGAGCATCTCCAGTGTCTTCAACGATCGCTGTAACGATTTTTAACCTTTTCGCTCCAAAAAGATGGCCTTACGCTTCACTCTCTCCTCGCCTTCTCCCTCTCTACAGCCACCACTCATCCATTCTCTTCCTCCGGTTAAACTTTCAACTCTGCCCCTTAATTCAAACTTATTCACATATTCTGCCACTCGCTCTCTCCGTCTCCGCTCCACCCGCCGTCTTCCTTCAGTCACTGCCTCTGTCCCTGCCATCGAAACCTCAGGGACTACTGGAACCGATTCAGGGAAGAAAAGGCCGTTGCTGGAAGTCAAGGATTTGACCGCTGTGATTGCTGAGTCGAAACAGGAGATTCTCAAAGGCGTCAACGTTGTCGTTTACGAAGGAGAGGTTGGTTGATAAGTTAAAGTGGTTCAAAGATTATTAAGTGTTGATTTATTTTATAAATAAATAAAATCCAGCATGATTAATTATGTGGGTGTTTTTTTATCTGTGAATAGGTTCATGCTATTATGGGGAAAAATGGGTCTGGTAAGAGCACATTTTCAAAGGTTAGAACTTTATGTTAGTTTAATCATGGTTAAGAGGATTAAAGGGTTAATTATGGTTTTATGATCGGAAGATTTAATGGTTTCTGTTAATTTTTGTAAGGTTCTTGCTGGGCATCCGGATTATGAGGTAACTGGAGGGAGTGTAGTGTTTAAAGGTGAGAACTTGCTTGACATGGAGCCAGAAGAAAGGTCACTTGCTGGGCTTTTTATGAGTTTTCAGTCACCAGTTGAGATTCCTGGCGTTAACAATATTGATTTTCTTAACATGGCTTATAATGCGCGAAGACGGAAACTCGGTCTGCCTGAACTTGGACCTATCGAGGTATGATTATGAAATTTTGCGTTTGTCCAGTTGAATGATTGTATCTATATTTTTCTTCAATGATATTTTGTTTTTTTTATTGCAGTTCTATGCGTATTTGTTTCCAAAACTTGAGCTTGTGAATATGAAGAGTGATTTTCTTAATAGAAATGTGAATGAAGGGTTCAGTGGTGGTGAAAGAAAGCGGAATGAGATTTTACAACTTGCGGTAGTTTTTGACTTGCTTTAATTATTTTGGAGTTTTTGTGAGAAACAAACTGGAATCTGTTCTTGTATTGTTTGGAAATCAATTTGGGCTTTGTGTGTTCTAGGTTTTGGGTGCAGAATTGGCTATATTAGATGAAATTGATTCTGGGTTGGATATCGATGCCCTTCAAGATGTAGCAAAAGCAGTGAATGGGATGTTGACCCCAAACAATGCTGTTTTGATGATTACTCATTATCTTCGGCTTCTGGAATTCATCAAGCCCACGTGCATTCATATCATGGTGAGTCAATTGGAGCATCCTATTTGTTGTTGGTAACGGTGTGCTTGATGTGATAAAGAGATCTATATTACGAAGTAGTGCATTGATCCCAATGAATCTTTTAGTTGTATGTTTGTAATATTGGTCAGTCTTCATTGGAAATCAATTTATAGTTGCATTTCATGAAATAATACAATTATACAACATATATAAACACCCGGGGGAGCTACAAAAAGTTATGTGCTTCTTCTTACACCTCACTCCTTGGCTGCTTCCTGTGGCGGGGAATCTGATATTCTCCTGAAGATAAAAAATAAAGTAAAAAACTTCATAGCTGTACTTGGGGGGGTTTTCAATTCTAATGATTGTGAGAAATATCCATATTATGCAATATTGCTCAACTACTTGATTTCTATTCCTGTGGTTGTGATGCTTTTTAATTTGTCAAAAAACTGTTCGTGTTACTATACCGTGAGATAGAGAAACTACTGTGGCTGTGATGAATGTTTTAATATTGTCCTGACTCCTGAATTTGTTTTTTTCTATGTTCTTTTAGGAGAATGGCAAAATTGTAAAAACCGGTGATATTTCCATAGCAAAGACACTTGAGAAGGAAGGTTACAAAGCAATCTCTGCCTCTTAACTGCTGGCCAATAGGTACTTGCTCTCGCACTTGGATATCTGCTTTTTATTCACTGGGTTAACCACAAGTTGTCATGTAAGGAGAAACGGAGACTAGAACATTTTTCATTGGGATAAGCATGACCAATCATGTGAGGAGAAATCGAGTAGAATGTTCTATATTTTTCAGGTGTCAAACCATGCAGAACTTGGTGTCCTTTTACCTGGTACACATGGATTTAATGGATTTTATTAGGAAGAATATTGTGACCACTTTTGTTGCTGGGACATAAGAAAACTGCAAGATTTGCATCCATGCTCTTTACAAGTGCAGGGATCTCCTGTATAGAATTAGTAGGTGGCCAGTGCACACGTCTATTTCTTAATTCTCTTTCATTTCAATTCTTCTCTGAATTGTATATGTTCAGACGCTGATTTCAACTTGAAAGCAGCTCTCTGCTTTCTTGTGCTCCTAGTCTGAATAATAATATTTCCTTGTCATATTTTGTATGGCCGCACAGTAGCATGGGCGTGAAGAGAAAATACTGGATGCTAGATTAAATGTTGATTACTGTTGAAAGATGCCTCAGGTATGCCCGCTCAAACACGCTGACTTAGATTCTGATTGGCTTCTTGATGAAACTAAAGGAAGTGAGAACAGATAAAATAGAAGATGATGAGTATCAAAGGCCTCTAAGGGGTTGGAAGATCCCTTAGAGGCCATGGCTTAGTTTTTTTTCAGGAAAAAGGAGGGGGGATTTTGAAACGACATGCTAAATAATTTCATCAGTTCTTTTCATTTAGAATAGGTTGGTCAGAAGCAACAAACAGTCCTTGCTTGATGAAAGAAGAAAAAAGGAAGCACAGCTCATCATATGATTCAGTATTAGTTAATGTTTTATTGGCTGCTCATTCTTGCAGGTCCATTTTTGACAAGAAGGGTTATGATGTAATTCCTCTCGAAGAATGGCATTGTTTGTACAAAAGTTTGCAGACCCTGTCATCAAATGATAAGTTTTCGGATTCTTTGAAATTCATAATCTTTCATCTTAATTTGAATCATGTCTAGCATTTCACTTGGCCACCTTCCTCTCTGGAGCACTGCTTTTGTTTTTGGTTCTCTGTAATTCACATGAATAAAAAATCTTTTGTCGACGTGTTTTGTGATCAAATTCTAAAGAAGTATTTGAACTCTTGATCCCTAGCGGGTAAAAGAAGTTAAGTTCGCTATATAGTTATACAACTCAAACTCAGATGAAGATAAGACATGATCACGAG